AAAAACTGGGGAATTTCTTATTTGGAGCCAGTGTAAAAATCTTAACATGTTTTATACAATCTGTAAATTACAATATCTGATTCTATATTCTTTCGAGAAAAAAACAGCGTTTATCTCGTTCGTTTATCACAGAAATTGCAGAAATAGGAGCAAATTTAGTAGATGATGACAGTTTTTATGGCTTTATAATCGCGGGTATTTAAATTAATTCCGTACCGCTGCCCTTACCGGAATTTAAATGCCCGTAGGATAAAGGTTAAAATCAATATATTTGCATTTAATTGTATAAAGAATGCCTATATATATTTGCGCTTGTATGTAACTTCTGTGCATCATTAGGCAATTTTTTAAATTGAATTCGTGATGATGAACGAGGAAGAAGCTGATGGTGACAAACCAAATGTGATCGGCCAGGTAGAAATCCAGCTCGATGGTGGTTGTGTAACTGTCATTCTGGTAGTGCCATTTTTTTCTTGTTAGCAGTGATGGGAGTCACAATGCAATGAGCCACAAGTCTGCTGAATCTGTGTAGACCTACAGAGGTTTGCATATAGTGGAGTGGATATCTGTGAGGTGGCTGTTCCCATGATAGGGTCCTAAAGTTTCAGCTTATTGGTGATGTAAAACATGCCATTAGTTTTGTAATTGTCAGTTATATATTTCAGAGTAACACCTTCAAAATGATTCCTGAGATCCAGTCATGGTGAAGAACCCTACAGCAACGACCATAAGATTTTGGTGTCCTTTTATATATGTATATCCTCCCCCCCTCCCCAAGTGGTAGACCAACAATTCCAAAGGGGTGATGTTTTCATTATAGCTCCTACATGCCTGACAAAACCACCACACTAACAAGAGTCTGATGAAACAGGTCCTCTTGTTAATATTGTCAATGTATGAATTCCAACCCCCATGTTTCATAGCACTGAAACCAAAAGTTACAGGAACGAATGTTCCAGGTATCATTCCATTCTGTATATAGAAGACTCTGTATGATATTCATGAAAAACAAAATGCAGTAAGATTGAAAACTGAATACATCTATATGTCAGGAGTAACTGATGAAAGAAAATCTTGGGTCCTGTCCGTTATTGGAAACATCGTATCACAGCGTAGTAAAAGGATACATACCAACAGTCTAAAAGAAAACATCAATTCCACATTATGTAGCTGGAATTTTTAACAATTTTAAACAGTATTATTGTATTAATTTTAACAACAAACTTGATGGAACTATATGATACAAAATATAATTTTAAATTTTGAATTGTTTCATTTTTGGTCCGTTACACTATCAATCACAAAGTCAATAGAAAGTCCGTCGAGTGTAACAATTTGTAGGTCACTTCTTTATCACTTCTGCCTTACATGTTTCGGTTTAACACAACCATCATCAGAGGCACATAGTACAATCATGAAAACACTGTCGTTGTTTAAGATGTACACAGTTATGTTTGCTGCGTGGATGCTGCTACAATATGTCGACGTGTAAAAGCTCAACACTTGCTAGGATTGTTGAATGCACTATCAATTCTCACATTCCATCCGAACTGCCCTCAAGTTAAAACGCCAATGTTAAAATATTTAAAAAATTTAAAACATTTGATGTAAAATGTTAAGCTGCTCCTTGTTAATTAATAATTAAAGAAATAATTTTAAATATTAATGTTAAAAACCTCTCTACAGAGACATGTGTAATACACGTGTAAAGTATTTCTGTATAGTGTTGGAGAACCTTCTGATGATGGCAATTTCTAACTGAAACATGTAAAGGTGTATTTTTATATCTTTATATTTAATTGGTTGGACTTGATGGAATTACTGTTCTCTTAAATTTATCCCAGTTGTTTTCAGGAGGGAGTTGGTTTCTCTATCTTCAGGGTAGAACCTTAAACCTACCTACTTCTCACCCTAATGGTCCTCAGAAACATTAGTTCCTACCTACCATTTTCTCTTCATTGCATCCCAGAGGATAATAGTCAAGTACTTTCCTGCCTTTAAATGATATTTGATAATACTATTTTACTTTTGTTCCACTTCTTTCAACAGAATTGAAAATAGCTGGCCATACGACTGAGTTTGTAAACAGAGTGTTAGACAAAGTGAAGAGTGGTGTACCAGGTGGAGGATTGGATGAGCTATAAATCGTAAGGATTCTCATCATCCATGACTGCTTTCTTATCTGTCCTCATAAATGTTGTAGGTATGTATGTACTGTACCAGAAACTTGCAGAAAAATATGTGCTACACAGTACTGAGATTGTATTTTAAATGCAGACTAAACTGGATTTGAGTAGCTGTAGTACATGTTAAGAGTAAGCAGAACATTGAGTTCGTGCTTTCTGATATGGTCATTACAAACTTGCATATGAAAGTGTGCTCTCATGCATGTAGAACAATATAGGTACAGAATGGTATTATAAATTGTGGCGCCTGTTTTAAAAACATTCACATTGGCATGCTATTAATGGACCTGACATTAGTTACAGACTAGAACTTCTCTTTTTCCCAAAAAAGAATAATAGCCAGAGGTAGATATGTACTGATGTTGCAAATATTTTTTTCTTGGCCCAGATTTTATTTTAATTTATGATACATGAATTATAATGCATATTCATTCTAGAACCAATGAATAAATTGTGTGAAGAGTATCTTAGAGAAAGGTAATCATATTTTCTAAGAGCCACACACAACAATTATATATAAATATTATGTTGGACATCCATTGTGTGGTGTATGTGAGGTAAACAGAATTTTGGAAACTGGATTTGTTTCTCTCATTAGGAATAGGGAGAGGAAGGCTGCCTGGTACTTAGCCAGAGCCATTGAAAAGAGATAGTCTTGATTGCTCTAGCAGGACTAGCTGTTGCTTCTTAGCCCCTACAGTGACGACAGTATATGAAATATACCCCAGACAGTGGACAGTGTCAAGCATAATATTCATATAATGAATCGACTGATGTTATGAACCTTTAGACAGTCAGCAGAGTAATTTGCATTACATTTAAAAAAAACAGTATATGTAAGTTACTGGTCATGTAATAAATAAATTTTAATCATGAGAGTTGATTTGAAGAATGGTTCAGCCCACATAAAATTATTGAAATTTTGTAGCCATTCATTGTTTGTGTAATAATAACAGCAGCAACATTAGTAATTGAAACCTGGATCTAAAATTTTTCTGTGACAGCAGATTGCTGCTGCTTATGAATAAACCATGTTATGTCTTTTCTTTATAACTGGGATCTTTAGTATTTCGGTAAAAGAAAAAGAAAAGGTGCCATACTGCAATCTTGTATGTCCAAGATGTGAAATATAAATAGTCACATTTGAAATGTTTGTTCTTTGACCAGTTCTGAAGTGCATAAATACAACAGCTACATACATAAACAATATTTATATTCATGTTTATTTGTTTAAACTTATTTTTTATTTTTAGTAACTAATTTTGAAATGCTGCTATTACCATCTTGTATACTATATTTATAATTGTATAGTTCATAAGCAGTTGTGACCCTAGAATGATTGAAAATATGTATACATATATACTTATTATTAGAATTTTTGTCATAGTCATAAAAATGTAGGAACATGTTACATTTTGTTGCTCTGCTTCTTACTGGAATTGTAAAACTTTTTAAGACATTTGCTTCATTATATCTCATGACCTTTCATAGATTCATGTAATTCATATTGTATTTATTGTTAAATCTGTTGCATGTGGTGTGTTCTAATGGTTGGAAACATGTCAGTGGTGCCAATTTTTGTTACTGAATTCACACACACTGTGAAGTATGTGATATGAACTTCTCAGTGGATAACATTGTATTGTAGCTTTATAGTATGTAATCAAGAAAAAATGTTTGAACATTGAGCAGCTCTCTCTCTCTCCACTTTATGTATTATTTAAAGCATCTGATATAATTGAATAGTTACTGAAATAATTGATACAATAATGATTTAATGTTTCACAGGTGGGGGTTGTTGCTATGAAATTCCACTTACAGCAAACATTTCTGCATTACTCATCCCAGTGATTCATATTATATAACAAACACGTTTATAATACACCTTGTACATATATCCATCAAAGATTTACGCCTTCTGCCGACAGTTGTTTTGAGTAGCATGTGTACAATGCTTTTATGCAATTGTGTAATGAGATGTGTGACAAGAAGAGTTGTAGCAAATCGTCTTTACTACATAAAGTTAAATTTTTATCACATATAAACTTTTTACATTTTTAAAGCAGTAAAGATTCATACTGTCTTCTGCATTACAGCACTGTCAGTCAGTCCAGTATATTAGTGCCAACGTTTTGAAGGAATATACTACCTCCATCTGTGTTGAAGATGGATGCAATATGTTCTTCAAAAATGTTGGTGCCCACCTACCAGACTTGACATTGTCATGACACATATGATCATAACACGAACTTTTAATAACCCGTTAATATGTACATTTTAAAGAGTAGCTTTGAATTTATTCCATATCAAACACTTTAGGACTTTCATTCTTATGTAGTAATGTATAGTGAACTAATACAAATGTAGTTAAAAGTCATTAAACATGTTTCTGCAGAATTTACTATAATGAAATATCAATAAATTTGTGTGAGAATTCTGCATTTTCCTAGTGGAAAGTGTGAACAGAATGATTTGATATAATAATATACAGGGGGGGCGGGGTTCTGATTTACCCTTGCATGTCAGTACCTCTGATGTTAAATTACACCAGAATAGCTGAAATTTTGTAATTGAATAACATGAAAATTTACATTTTCTTGTTGCAGTACTTCTGCTGCTTGGTTAATTGTTCATGTAGGTGTGTGTCTGTATTTTAAATTTGATATAACCAACAAGAATGAGCTTAGATGTTGGACCTTATATATTAGAACAGAGTATACATTTAACATTATCTATGCAGAAATGTTACCAGTGGAATTCATCTTCATCTAGTGTTGTAATTTCAGTCACTGGAAACCACAATGAATTTCAGGATGTTGAGCCCCACCCTTAGGTAGATGCACTGTTGGAAAAATGACACACTGTACAGCATCAGACTCTGTACTAGAGGTTCAGAAGTCTAGGACTTAGAGTGCATAAGTCAGTGCCTTCTAATTGTTTATTTACCCAAAACAAAGTTCTCTGTTGCACCACTTGCATCATCTAAGTTTATATTTAATAGTGAACATTGTTGGAATAGTATCTTGACTACACATTTTTACCCTCAAAAATATGAAAATAGAGGTTTTGAAGAAAGAAAAGTGAGAAGCATATTAATGAAATAATTAAATTTGCAACTAATTTCATACAGTCCTTCCAGAGAAGTCAGTAGACTTTTGGAAGGGCTGTACTCTATGACAGTCAGTTTGACACCTTAATGGTCACCTTCTTGCTGTCAAGACTTAGACCATGGACTTGTTCCATGTTCACTTCATTAGTCAATGTGTTTTAACATGTTAATCTATTTTTAATGCTTCACTGCATTAAGTCACTGTCACTGGTGCAATTTTTGCACATCTTCAGCCCACAGACCTTGAGTCTCTGCCTTCTTTAGTGCATATTGTAGATGAACTGATGCTCCTACATGAGCAGTACCTCTTGCCGTTGGTTGATAAACTGTTCCACCTGTTCGTGCTATGCCTTCTACCATACTTGTTAAGCTGAGTGGCCATGTTGAAGCCATTAATGGTGAAAGCCAAATTGTGAAAGTCGGATAGGTCAGTAGAACAAACGGGATGTACCATGTACACTCAGTAGTGGGGTAAAGCACAAAAATGTGTGAACTTCTTGTGAATGATGTCTGACTTGCCCTCATAAGTATATAGCAGCAATCCAAAACACTTGCCCATATTAATACTATATTATAGTATTATACTAATCAGATCATTCACATGTCTTATTTCAGAGGTGTAAGATGTAGCAAAGAAATATTTTAATTTTATTTGATATTAATGGAATAGATTGGACCCTTGGTATAGTGTGGATTTCAAGGGTCAGCTTCAGTGCCCATGATATAAGCTGTTTGTGTTATATGTGAAATTGACGTTTATCGGAGTATTGAATCCAAGATATTATGTATACTTATCAAGCGATTAAAATACATGAAATTTAAGGTACATTTCAGACCTGTGTTTCACAAGTGCTATTGGCACAGATCCCAAAATTACATTTATGCCTCCTTAAGAAAATCATGTAATGTAGCTTGTCAGAACTGATTTTTTTTCTCTCTTTTTCAAAACACATTGCTAAATGTTATTCAGAGGCAGCATATGGGGGTGTTCATTATCAGCCTGTCATTCTAACACTCATGACTCCATTAGTATTTTCTAGTGCTTTGCTGGATTTCTGTTACAGACCTACTCATAGAAGACTGGATTTTACTATCTGTACCTGCACACTACGGCAAGGAATGTCCTAGTACAGTCTTACAATTTAACCAAAACATTTCACAGAAATTTGTGTGATGTTAGAACATGTAAACTTTAATAGGGAACATAATTGTTGCATTATATGTAATCTGAGGTATAACAGTGCTTGGTACATCAAGGGTCTGCTGTAACTGAAGCATCAACATGCTTTTGAATGGATGCTATTTGTCATTATTAAACAGTTATCGATATTATAAAAATCAGATTTCAAAATATAAATTATATTCAAAAATATCTTGGTAATTCTAGATGTTTTGGTTTTTGGAATTGTTTTGAATTTAAAGTTGTTTGTATATGTACATTTCTTTGAGAAAATTTTTAAGGTTTCTGTAATGATGGCAGGCTTGGTACTATATTTGCATAAGTAAGCTGCATACCTGGGTGTTATGTAGAAGTTTGTAATTAGATGTGTTCATTGACTTCAGTATTGAAATTTCTTTTTGACATGAAAAATAGAATATTAGCAATTTATTCTACATGAACATGTTACTTTTATCTCATGATATGATTTTGTTATCATGTGAAACACAGTTTGTCCTGTACTGGATTTATGTTTAGTTTGTTGCACTGAAGCTTATGATATAACAATGACCTGTTTTTATTATGATATTTGGCACAGTGTAGATATGGGGTCACTATTTCTGAGGTGAGCTGTTAGGAAAATTTTGTATCTTGACTTCTTTAAGGGCAGGGACTTGTTCTTAACAATTTAATTGATTGTGTCATATTTTACAGTTCACAAAGGAAGAAAAAATCAGTAATATAACTCACTGGAGCTTTGGAGAATATGACATTTTTATGCGTCTATGGAATCGTAAGTTCTGATAGCTAGAACCATATTCAGTGTTGTTTATTTCAAGCACTGTATCATGGAAGGATGAGAAGCTCACGAGTCTCCTAATTCATTGTGGTTTATTATGAATAACAACTATTAACACTGTGTGAAGATTGTATTATTTCAGTTGTGATGCATTATATCAGCCATAAATGTTAAATCTGAAACTTAAGTTGCTCCTGTGCTTAATTGAGCACTGTGCCATGAAGACTTACTGGGGAGTGAAGATATAGCTCCACCATTCTTGACCCTCAGCACCAGCTCGGTGTGAGTGGTCAGCTTCACACCCTGGCAAATTTAAAACTATAAATTTAATATTGAAAGGAATTTGAGAATTATTTTCCCATTTCTGAAAATTTATCTTGCTGCATAGCCTTGACTAATGCCGTTGAAAGCTGCTGGACATGAAAACTGTCTAAAGAAGTTTAATGCTGAGATGAGAAATTTTAGGATGGGGCTGAACTTATCAGAGCCAGAGCAGGAATGATAACAGTGAAATCTAAAAATTATTAAAATCTTTATTTCATATAGATGCAGTACAAGCAAGGAAGCTGGTATTTTTTCAGATAAACATTAACTGCAGTTATAAACAGTGTTAAATTTGTCTGTATCCTGTAATGGATAAGTAAGCCTTTGTAAATAGTTTTAAGTATTATAGTTTCTATTACTTCAGAAGATTGTCACTTGGAAAGCTTTTTAAGTGACTTTTTTTGTGGTCACATGTATGTGAAAGCAGTGTAATTGTTTATTCTAAATATGTAGGTTGGCACCACTGTTCATGCACACACATTGTAATAGTTTCTCTTTTTTATATAGATGAGCTGCTTTTGCCAGCGACACTTCTTAATGTACATGGTAAATATCCAGACAGTAACTTAATGCATAGTTCCTATTGATGAATTACATTATGGTATATATTATATATAAAATATATGTTCAAAATAACCTAATGTTACATATGTAAAGGAATCTGCAAGCTTATTTGTACTGTACTTATAGGTGATATTTCATAATTTATAAAATTTTAATATGTATACTGTTGTTTTCATGATTGGATGGTGTATGTTATTTGCTGTAATATATATTATTAACATATTCATGTATTCTGTGCAGCTACTGTAGGATATTTTAAAGGAAAGTATTTTACTTGGCCATCATATATTAACAGTTAACAAACCGTTAAAGTTAACATATGCTTGAAGGGAAAAGGGAGTGTTAATGGTAGACAATAATCTGTGCTTGAAAAATGTAAAGTTAATGGTAGATGGTTCAGTGGTCTAGCAGAAGCATGCTCGAGCTGCTTTTAAACGGCATATGCATTTGAATTGTTGCAGATTGCTCAACACAGTAATGCAAAAGTATCATGTAGTTAAATGGTAAGAGATTCTTAAATTATTTGTCTGAAAATTGACAAACGTATGTTATATACACATATTGCTTTCATATACTGTAAGGGATTGAATGGATTTGAAGTGCTCTAATTACAGGATAGCTTGTAGGTAATGAGAAAATTACATTAAGATATTATTACTATCAGTTAAATTAAATTTTCTTATAATGACCTGTACATAGGCATGGTTATATTTAACTCCAGCAATTTTCAATCTCATTACTGTATATGCATCATTAAACTATAATGTTATGGATCAGTGTTAAAGACAGTGAATATGTCAATATCTAAATGTAATTTTAAAGAATTTGTGCTGCAATCTGAATTTGATGGAATTTGAAAATATTAGTCTTCTGAGATGGCTGGTAATCTGGTACTGCCAACTTTTCAGAGGAACACAATTTGTCCACTTTCACAGTATGAAAGTTAGCAGCATAGGGATATAGGGAGTGGGAAATCTGGGCCCTTTAAGGGACAAATAGCGCCTATGCCATTCTTTCTCTCATTGATTCACTCAGACCCCTGATCCTGGCCCTCCCTCATCCTGTATCTCTTGCCT